CACCCTCCACCCAAAGTCTCAAATATATTTAAGAGTAAGATTCCGAAAGTCACCCCTCTCTTACTCCCCTTTACAGTCTACATAATGAAGCTCGCACCATAGTAGTCTTTGTTTCTTTGATGTTTGTGAATCATGATGATCTTGTACTACTTATGTTTGATGTCTTGCTAGTTGGTACTCGCCAATTGAATGAAAATGATTGATTATTTGTAATTTTATGTGTTGGAATTTGGATTATGAAGTCACATTAGATGTTGTATTGTATTGATGTTATTTTTTATAATTATTATTTTATGTTAACAATGTAGAAGTGTACTTAAATTGTTATGAATTATTTGTATGATTATATTTTATTAAAAATTACACTACACGAAATTTCAAAATATTAAAAGAAAAGGAGGTTGTTATTGGTTAACAGTTAACCGTCAAAATAATCACTAGCCAAACCGATAATAGGTGATTCGATAAGTCTTATTGGTTCGGTTTTCGGTATGCATTTTTGTTTAGTGGTTAAGTACTAACTGCCAAATCGATTAGTGGTTAACCAAAATTAAACCAATTAGCACCCCCTAACTGAACTATATAATATACTCAAATGGCATACTGGCTACTGAGCTTGTCGCAGATAAATCCTAATTGAGCCTCTGAATTGTGGAGGAGAAGAGTGATACACATTTGACATTTGCGCAACTAGCCGATGTTCTGCTGCAATGATGTAACAATCTGTGTATACATTAACCGTACAGCTGATATTATACACTCTGCCTACTGAACAGATTCTACAGTCGCGATTTCGCTATGGTTTGCATTTGCATCAGATCGGAAGATATTTGTAAGAGCGACTCTGTAGTCTGCATTCCAATTAGAAGCTCTCTGCATGGTTAACTTCTCAATAGTCCTGACTGCTGTTTCTAGTTCTAGGTTCCCTAACTATAGTTCATCTTTTGAGACTTTTGACTTCAAATGCTTATTGATGGTCGCGGCCATGTCCTTTCCACTGGATTTTGTTGAGAGTTTGATCTGCACATACGGATTTGTATGACATTGTTAGTAAAAGTGAAATCGAGAGGAGAAACCCATGGGAAAATGAATGTCTTCAATTGTCTTTACCGGATTCGCTTTACCATCTTCTGGGTAAAGCAAGAGTGTCGGATAGTCGGCTACCTGCAGAAATGAACACAAAACACGTCATTTTAAAAGTCGATTCAACTTTTAATGGCCTTGTTTAGCCAAAACTTTGCAGCTTAGCATGCTCCAACTTCAAATGGCAAAACTCAGAAGTGAATTCTCCAATTTCAGCCCATCAATTTTTCAGCTGAAAAGGGCTAACCTGCAATTTGGGATGTTCATTTGCAGAAGCGTCAATCCTTGCAACGACTAAGCTGTCAGACCCTTTGAAATGCTTTGCCAGCTTCTCAACCTGCTTGCTTGTAGTCTCACAGTTGATGCACCAAGGCGTAAATATCTGCTTTCATAACCATCACGTTTACTGGAATGCTTAAATACACCTTTTGGCATTCTTTAAGAGACATTTGATGAAGTAAATTTGTTCACCTCAAGAAGTATGTTCTTCGGACTACTTAGAACCAACTCGTCAAACGTTTTTCCGACGACCACCTGGACGGTCGCATTTTTCTGCAATAAAAAAACAAGAATAATTACCAATAAATCATAATTTTGTTTAATGAATGATACATCTAAGTTTTTATCTGTTACCAGGATAAAAGCAAGAGTTTAACCATCCTGAAACTCACGTTATCAGGCACGGGTTGTGATTTGTAGTAAGGCGGATAACTTCCATGCAGAAGGCCTAAGCAAAAATCCTACAAGTGCATGTTGATCAATTAACAATTCTAAATTATTCATGAAGGAATAGAGAATCCCATACTCTGAAAAGAGAAAGAAACTAGAATAGGAGTAGCCAAATAGTACTTCTATGTTCCCAGATGTTGGCACAGCTTCTAACAAAAACTTGGTGCTGATTTTGTTATCAAAAGCAGTCACCTGTCAGGCATTCAAGGATCAACTTCGTTAGCTTGGACCTCTGTTTTGCAATATAAAGACAGCAAGAAATACAATTCAGGTCAAGGCCAAGAGTGTAACCAATGTGTCGTCTGACTCTTCAAGACCAAACAGAGTTAAGAAAGGCTTTGCTAGGTTCTCCTCCTCGATGTCTACGTATAGGAACATTATCTGCACAAATAAGACAATCTAAGAAAGTACACCACAAAATAAAAATACATTTTGTAACAAAATGATTTAGACAAACCTTAGATTTTAACTTCCTGGCAACCTGTTGCAGAGGCTCAATAAGTCTTCCGAAATCATTGTCCCGTCCAAAAACCATAACCTGGGGCACAATGAAAGTAGTTGATACTCAAATTTATCTTTCTTCAGATAAATAGTCATAGCTCCAGAATGATTTCAGATTTGAGAGAAAGTTCAAGGCAATTGAAACAGAGTACCCTTATGCAATCTCGTTGGAAGAAGGAAATAGTAAGGAAGTACTATATGCAACACACATTCTCAATATATATTTTTAAGCTAAGTCGGTTTCTGAGTGGTTTGACATATGAAACTCGGTGAAATTTGTGGAAAGTAAAGCAAATGCAACATAAAATAGTTCAGAAAAGAAGAGGATGACAGAAATATCATGAGAAATAGCAAACGGTAATCACTGCAGATATTCACAGACCAATGATTCAAACTTCTAGACATTTATTCAGTCCTCTTCATGAACACATAGAACTATACAGATGAACTCTCACACATAAAGGGAAACAGAGAGATACAGAGACAAGATTCAGCAAAATTGTAAAATAAAAGGTAGCAGCTACCTGAAGTTTGATTGGACTCGAGTACACAGAGGCAGAATTCAACTCTGTCAGTCTGGTAACTAAAGGAAACTTATTGTAAGCCAAAAACTCCAGAATCTTGTCCATCTCAAAGACCCCTTCTGCAATACACAAATTCAGCATTCCAGCAAAATCAGGGAGACGTGTTAAGAGAAGTATTTCATTATAGGCGTGAAACAAACAGGTGTAGTTAAAATATCTAACATGAAATCAAGAAACTTATGAACTAACCATATGTAGTAAATCTCTCAGCTTCACTTTTCACTAGTCCAACGAAATTGCTAGTGGGCTTGATATCTGGGAAAAGAACTTTAGCAACTCCATGGTCACCCACTTCGACAAACTGGATTCCATTGTCAGAGATTGCCGCCTTAACAAATCCTTCATAATCAGAACCCTGAAATATTTTCAAATTTCACACATGTCACTTACCATCTAATTACATAATACAAAGTTTACTAGAGTCTAGAGCAGCTAGAAAGGTTGAAGAGTTTAGGAGATACAACCAATTATGACAAGCTCAACTAAATTTATTCTAGTTGTCGCAAGCAACATAATAATGGTTCACGCAATCAGTCATGCGTACCTCAAACTTGTCAAACAGACCAAGAACATAGATATGATACGTCTCAAGAAATTTCTCTGCTTCAGCAACTGAATTTACTCTAATCACTGGATCACCAGTCTTTTTCCTAGCCCAGATCACTATATCCTCCCTGTTAGCCATAAAATATCAAACTTTTTAGTAAATTATTAACTACCAGTGCCCTGACAACAGTGACAAGGCTCCAGAAAGAAAGGAAGACATACCCAGTAAATCCACCAGTGTAAGCCTGAGAGGTGCCATTGATAAAGAGAAGCAAAGTAGGGAACCCTCTGATCTGAAGCGCGGAAGCTGCCTTGGGATACCTTTCAGCATCAAGCTTAGCCATCACAATTGGACTTCCTAACTCCTTGAGCTTGTTCGCAGCTTCAGCGAATTGAGGCATGATCTCTGCACTCCGGGTGTCCCACGGCGCATACCCAAGAACCAAAACAAAGTCATTCTCACTAATCACCCTGTTAGAGCTGTCGCTATTCAGCTCAAGTACTATCCTTTGCGCTTTGGTCAATACCTCGGCCTCCTTCTGCTGCTCCACGTGATGATGTTGATCCGCTGAACCCACTTCATCTTCTTGCTCATCAATGGCAAGCAATTCGTCTATCTCCTCGTCTTCGTCGAGTTCGGTGGAAGCGACAAATGCGGAGAAATTGATCAACAGGAGGATAGTGAGAGTCAAAAGGAGGAATCTTGAACTGGGTTTTCTTCTGGGAATCATGATTCGTCTGAAGGAGGATTTCGGGAAATCTGAAATAGGTTTTATGAATTGGAGGTTTGGATTCGGTTGACCCAGGCAGAGAAAGAAAAAGAAGAGGCGCTTCCACCGAATCTGGAGATCTTCCGCGATTAGTGGCGGTGTGGGAAAAGCGGAATGTGCAGAAAATGAGGTGAGGTTTGGATTCAGTTACTCGCCCGTCAATGGCAAATTTGCGCGAGAGTGCAAAAACATGGTGTCAACGGTCGAACCGGTCCGACCGGACATGGCCTCTCCAGCGGCCTTGACCTGAGGAATTTAGTTGTAGAGAGTAGGGACTAGGGTGCTCAAATGGTTTTTATGGTAATTATCAAACCAAATAAGTTTAAATTTTATTAATCATGAAATATCATATCATAACCAAACCGTTCAAACTAATACAACAAACTAAAGTTCAATCGGTTTGGTTAACCAGATTAACCAATATAACATCACATTATCATTAAGTGAGAAAATTTTCCGATTAATGCATCAATTCACAATTTATATAATGAATAAAATATAACAATCAACACATAGTTATAGTTAACCCTTAACATAAATACATGCAATTAATACAATTATCTTGCGGTTCAATGGAAGTATCCACTTAACAAAAATATATGTCAACGGTAGGAGCTTAATGAAGTGTTGTGTTTGTGTGAATTGACTTAGTCTCTTAGCAATTATGATAGGTTGATTTTTTTTCAAGTTTTCATCCAATATAATGTATGATTTTTACCTAAATTAGGCGTCCATATGTTGTGGTGTACACTCTACAAGTATAAATATACAGTATATGAACAATATTGAGCTTTAATTTTTACGAGCCTAAAAGGTAGGAACGTTTGACTCTTGAGCAGGGGTGGAGGTTCGGTTTTCGGTTAGCGATCACCAGCCGATTAAACCGATAACCGTCGGTTAACAATTAACCGATAACTGAGCCCCCAAGTCTTCGGTCGGTGGTCGGAACGTGTAATGGGAGCTTTGGTTAACCGGCTAACCGAGGCTAACTGACCGATTGACAACCCAAGCCCAAAACTACGCCGTTTATACCAAAATGACGTCATTTTGTCAACTTCCTAAAACTACCCCAACCCCAACCATATTCTCCTTCATCGACCTTCATTCCCTCCCTCTCACCCCGGCGCCTCCACCCCTATCCGCCACTGCCGACTGGAAATCCCCTGCAGGCTCCCCGACCGTCGCGTTCCCCCGCCGATTGTCGTCTCCCCGCGGGACGCGGCAGCCCTCCTCGACCCCGCGCAACCCCCCGGCGACCCTCGGCGTCCAGCGACCCTCCTGCGAAGCCCGTGTTCGCCGGCTTCAGGCTCCAACAACCACCGACATTGTCCGCCGTCGAGACTCCCCTGCCGGCTCCAGCAACCCCCTCGACGACCCCCTCGACCCCGGCGTCCGGCCACCCTCCCGCGAAGCCCGCGTCCGCCGACTTCAGGCTCCAGCAACCAGCAACACCATTGACCATCGAGACCTCCCCTGCTGGCTCCAGCAACCCCCTCAGCGAGACCTCCCCCGCCACCCCCGCCAAGTCGCCAACCGCCCAAGGCACAACCATCTCGCCGACGCCAAGTCGCCATCCCGCCGTTTGAAGTTTGAAATTGACTTGTAGTGTAAGATTTTTATTGATAATGGGAATTGATGATGATTGACTCAGATTTATGATGATTTTAGATGTAATTTTGCAAAAATTATTATTATGGTTGTGATTTTGTGTGAGTAATGAGTTGATGATGATTTAGAATTTTAGATGATTAATTGACATTGTGTGAGTTGTGGGAGTTGATCATGGATGATTAATTGAAGCTGTAATGTACTAATGTGAGTTGATGATGCTTATGAGTTGATAATGCTTGTTAGAATATGTAATTGTTTCAATTGAGTTTCAATTTCTCAATTTATGTAATTGTTTTTGTAGGGCGATACCTCCGGCTCCTCGTGGTGGATGTGGCAGACGAGGTGCCATTACTGCTGCGACTGCTCCTCGTGGCGGGAGACCTCCGGCTCCTCAAGGTCATGATGGTGCGGGTGCCACAGTCCCTGATGCTCAGACCCGGGGCCGTGGTGGGCGTTCAGGAAGTCGACTTGTTCAAGCTGCTGAACCCGCCCATGTCGATAGTGGAAGTACACCTGCTGAGACTCCATTTGTTGACACGAATGCTACTGCTACAGAGAAAGATAAAGGAGACACCTTCGACTTAAAGAAATGGATGCTGGCGGAGGGTAAGGCTGATTGTTGGAAGGTGTTTAAGAAGGTGGTGGTTGACGAGTATCCGATGGGAGAGTGCATACATTGTCATACTCAAATCAAAGCTCATCGTTCCAAAAATGGGGCCTCTACAATGAATAACCACAAGCATTCATGTTTGGCTAAGGTGGCAGCAACAAAAGATCAGATAGTTTTGAACTTGCAGACAATAGGTGGTGGTCAAGTAAGTCTTTTATGGAAGTTTGATCAAGCAAAAACTAGATATGCGTTAGCCATGATGATCATTATGGATGAGTTATCATTTCGCTTTGTGGAGAGGGAAGGTTTAAGCAATTCATGATAGTTGTTCATCCACTATTTAAGATACTTGGGAGGAAAGCTATAAGAGATGATTGCTACCATATCTTCTTGGATAAAAAGGTGCAGTTGATTGAGTTTTTTGAATCACGGAGCAAAGGCATGGTTTCAATCACCATGGATACATGGACTTCTGATAACAACAAGAAGTACATGGGTGTCTTTGTTCCCATCACAAGTCATACTGGAAAGGATATTGCAGAGAAGCTTGCAGGAGTTCTTGAAGAGTAGAAGGTGAAGAATCAGTTTTGCATGACCATGGACAATGCAACTTCAAATGATGTTCTTAGTGATTTGATGGATGAGAAGTTTCTACAGTTTCGATGTGTGGCACACATTATTAATCTGGTGGTACAAGATGGCCTGAAAGTGACTGGAGGTACTGTGGATAGAGTTCGGGACTGTGTGAAGTGGGTGAGGTCATCCCCAGCTAGGTTGACAAGGTTTAAGACTGCCATGGAATTTCTGAATGAGGAGTCAACCAAATTGGTGTCTTTGGATGTAGCAACCAGATGGAACTCCAGTTATATCATGTTAGAGTCAGCAGAAAGGTTTGATGGAGTGTCTACAACTTTGTATTCAAGTATACACGATCATTCCTTTAGAGATTATGTTGACTCAAGAGGTGGTCTCCCAACTTAACAAGATTGACAGCTGATTAGGAAGTTGATGAAGTATCTGAAAGTCTTCAATGACTTGACCCTCCTAGTCTCAGGTAAGTGGAATTTGAATTGATTTTTTTATTTTAACCATTTGTCTATCTTTATTTGTTTTACTCTAATTTTTTGTGTTCTTTTCTCATTGTACAGGAACTAAGCATGTGACTACCCATCTCTTCTTCAAGAAGCTTGTTCCAGTTTATGACATCATCCAGGAATTAAAGAATGATTCGCACGAAGAGATCCAAAAGATAGCAAAAAAGGTCGAGGGAAAGGTACAGAAGTATTGGTTTGAGACACTTGTTATGAATGAGGAGAACATGAAGGTGAATCACTTAATTTATATAACATGTGTGCTTGATCCTAGAAGTAAACTTGATTTGGTATCCGAGGTTTTGGAAATGATTTATGGAGGTGTGAAGGGGAGAGAAATTGAGGCTAGAATTAAAAGGGAGATGCGTCAGATGTTTGAGTTATACAAAGGGAAGTATGGATCAAAAACACCATCCTCTACATCTGAGCCTACCATGGATGAGAGCATTATTGGTGGTAGTGCTGCTGAAGGTGTTGGTGATAGGATTAAGGAGCTTGAGGAGAGACTAAGGAAGAGGAAAACGGAAGCACTTCTGCAGGAAACAAGAGGTAGCTCTGCTGAGCTTGACATCCATTTGAAATGTCAAACTGATGGTATCAATTAGGAGAGTGATGATGCCAAGTTTGACATCTTGGGTTGGTGGTCTCGACACTCTGGAATATATATGATTCTTACTTAGATGGCTAAGGATATTCTAGTTGTTCCCATCTCCCTATTTCCTCAGAGGCAACATTCAGCTATGGCGGTCAGATTCTTAGTCTATTCAGGTCCTCTTTGAGCGATACCATGGTGGAGACATTGATTTGTGCTGAGAATTCACTACAACAAATATGGTCTATGGTGACAATCAGTTTTGTCATTATAGGTCCCGATTTTGTCACGTAAAATCTGTTGTGACAAACTTTGTGACAAATTGCATTTGTTACCGGAAGCTCGTCGTAATAGATTTATTGTGACAAACGCAAATGGAGTTTGTCACCATACCCTTCCTGCTCCAGTGACAAATATATGGCGTCACAATGAAGTTCTTAGGTGACAAAATACATTGTCACATGATGAGACGCAGGCCATGCGATTTTGAAGCGGCTATTATGAAAAAATAGTTTATTGTAACGATAATTATTGTCACTAGGTTTGTCACATTATATTTTATGTTTTAAGTGACAAAACACATTTGTCACTGTGTGAAATCTTTTAAAACTGGATAATTTCAAATTGTTTCTGTTGTGACAACTTGCTCGTCATATTTGGCACTACACTACAGAGACAATATGACAAACTGAATTTTATACATATCCAAAGAACTATTTCATTCAGAGCTACCAACCATCCAAAAGAGTAATTAAACCTCCAACATTCTAGAGAACTCAAACATCCAGCAAGCTTTCATAGTTCACAGCAAGCCAAACATCCAAAAGTGTTCATAACCTACACATCTACATCATTAGTTCACTACCTAAACCTCAACTCAAACATCAAGCCTTCATAGCTGCAACTTAACATTCTTCACGCCTTCATATCTACCTGCATGTGATAAATATAACCATATGTCAGATTGTGCCATTCACAACCACAAAAAACCAACAATGAAATTCTAATCTCATCCAAACAGTCGAATACAACAAGGATCTTACCTTGAAGTGCCATTCATCTTTGCAGCCAACTGATTTACAGTAGCTTCAAGGCTTTTTTGTGCTGCTGCCATCTGATCAAATTTATTTTCTTGAGTTGCTATTTTCTGTTGTTGTTGCTCAATCTGCTCCTCCACCTGCTTGTTTCTTAGTTCAAAACTCTCCATTTCAGCTTGCCTCTGTGCTCTTTCAGCTTCTAATTGTGCTTCAAGTTGGAGCTCCCTAGCTGTACGCTTTGTGTTTCGAGCAAAGGTAGGCTTTTTCTTCAAGACCTTCTCCACAATCTCAACCCCAGACACCTCATTTCCTTCCTCAATAGCTTTTCTTTGAAGATCAGTCATATCTTCCTGTAGATGAAAAGGTGGATTTGGTCCATTGTTAACAAATGAAGGCATTCAGCTTAACATGTTAAAAGTTAGATCAGCTAATTCTTACATAATTTTTCTTAGTTACAGGATTGATCCATTGTCCATCGCGCTTCTTATGTGTATCAGCATACACCCGTAGTTCTGGAGGCTCAGAAGCTTCTGCTGGTACATTCTCCTCTGCATCATTCTCGGTTGGTTCAACAGCTGCTTCCTTATTGTTCTGTCCGTAATATCAGAGTTTTGGACATTAGATAATTTCATGCTAATTTACCAAGACAATGCTGAGTCACTCTACTTACCAGTTCATACAACCTTTGACTCTGTGACTTAGCACCTGTGGTATGAGGATGAATCTGCATGGCTCTATTTTGAACATTAGCTAAACTTTGCTTCTGCAAGAACGAAAACATTACTTAGACGTGAATATATAAAAAAAGAATGCATGTGCAAGAGAAGGTGTTACCAATACCTTAAAAGCAGGGCTTTCAAAATGATCACACAACACCTTCCAGTCATCGATATTCACTGTTTCCTTGGGGTTCTCTCGAGCTTTGATAGGATCAGATTCCTTCTTGTAATGCTGGTGGCAATTGTGCTTGAATCTTCTAAACCGAGCAGCCATAATCCCATCTACCATCTCTCTCACATGTGGATCACTCATATCTATGTCGAACTCACTCTACCATATGCAATAACATAAATCATTAACATAGTGGGCAAAAAACATTTCACTGCAACACTATTTACATATTAGAATTACTAAATTGTTACCTCTATTTTTGCAAAGAGAGGCAGCTTTTCTTCCTCAGTGACTTCAGTCCAAAAGAACTTCCTAATCGGAGCTAGTACACGAACAACAACTCCCATCTCCATCTTGAACAAGTTTTCATTGCTACCCACTGGTGCTTTGGCACCTTCCTCAATTATGATTCCTCTAATCTTTTTTCCTTCCTCCAATCTTTTTTTCACAGCATACCCTTTGGTTTTGCCACGCTTTTTCCTACTAGGTGCCTCTTCTGCAAAACAGAAGACATCAATTTACAGCTCAAAAAGCACAGCTAAACATATCAGCAGGCACCAAGCAGGACCTGTGTCATTAGACTGGCCTTCTTCTGTGTCATTTGGACGATCTTCACTCATTGGTGAGTCCACATTTGCCCCAGTGTGTTGTGACTCACGCGTGGATGTGTTGCTGGTTGTGCCTCCATCAATTTCATCCACAGATGCAGTTGCAATCCTGGATCTAGTGAGTCGGGCAGGCACATTCTGACCATTTCCCTTAGCCAATCTCTTACGAGTAGGCGGCAGATATGCCAAACAGAATTACAAGACAAAGGCAGGTCATTTTCAAACAGTTATAAGTTAAACAAAGTGAAAAATAATAACAAATTAACTCGAACCTGCAAGCTGGTGATGCTAACTCTTACAGTCCTCTTATATAGTCCTACCAATAAGTTAGAGATAGACAACAGATTAGCAACATATGTTAGCAAAATAATGAAGGAAATAATAACACTCTACATGGTTTCTATACGTCCATTAATGTGAAAATTTTATTGATTCCAAATTTGGTATACATATATTCTATAGAATTGACCAAAACCACAAACTGCTTTAATAGTACTCATCTTCCTCACTACCACTCTCAACTGGGTTACTACCACTTGGTTGTCCCAATGCAGCCAAACCATCACCATAATCAACTAGTGTATCATCCTCCTCATCAGACGTGCCATCACAGCCAAGTACATCTTCTTGTTCAACTTCAGCCACTTCCTTGGTGCCTCTTGAATTTACCAGAGTTGCTGGTTCATCTTGCAGAACCAGTGACTCTATCACGTGGTCTTCACTCTGAATATCAGTTGCATAGAACGTCTCCTCTTGTTGGTATGGCTCGATTTCATACATTGAGTCTATGTCTTCCTCACTCTCAGGCACATCATAGACATGCCTTGGACTAACCTTCACTACAACATGCCAATTTTCCCTTAGTAGTCCACCCAGACAACATTCCATATGCAGGGAAATCATTGATTGTCCATAAAAGAGCAGCATGTAACTGAAAATATTGACCCGTATGTGCATCAAATGTTCTGACCCCAACAGTCCATAACTCATTCAGTTGTTCTATTAACGGTTCTAGGAAGACATGTATCTTGTTACCAGGAGACTCTTCACCAGGAATAAGAACACTCAAAAACATTACAGACTCCTTCATACACAACCAGGGGGCAGATTATATGGTATCACAACCACTGGCCACATACTATAACTGCTAGACATGTTACCAAAAGGATTGAAACCATCACTGGACAATGCTAGTCGAACATTTCTAGGATCAGCAGCAAACCAAGCATGATCCCTATCAAATTTCTTCCATGTCTCCCCATCAGTTGGGTGCCTAAGGACCTCATCATCAACCCTTTTGTCCTTGTGCCATCTCATATCTCTAGCTAGATCCTTAGTTGTAAACAACCTCTGCAACCTATCCTTTAACGGGAAGTATCTTACCCTTTTCTCAGCCACCTTATTGCCTTTGCAATTATCAGGTTTATATCTAGATTTTCCACACACTGGACAGGTATCTGCCCCTTGCAAAGCCCCTCTAAATAGCACACAATTTTCAGGGCAGGCATCTATAACGTAATAATGGAACCCCAGATCCTTCATATACTTCCTCACTCCATAATATGAACTAGGTAAAGTGTCTCCATTTGGTAAAGCATCCTTTACCAACTCTAAATTCATATTAAATGATTTATTGCTACTGTTGGTAACTATTTTATTGTTCAACATTTTCACAAGGAAAGAAAGTTTAGAATACTTCTCGCAACCTGGAAACAGAGGCTGCTGGGAATCTTTAATTAAGCGTTCAATTTTAGTTGTTGTACACGAATTAGTAGAAGAAGCACCCTCAATCGGACTTGCATCATCCCTAGCTCTAAGAACATCCTCTAGCATTTCATGGATGTCTGAATCCATACCATCAGGAAGACTTTCAAACACAGTATGTACATTGCTAGTATGGCTAGCCTGAAAAGGCTCACCGTGATGGACCCACACCGTATAATCTGGCATAAATCCATACAAGAATATTTCATTCTTCACTTCTGATATCTTCTTAAAGCTAGTGTTGTTGCATTTCTTGCAGGGGCATCTAATTCTACCCAAAGCATCAGCAAAATGAGTTGCAAAACTCAAGAAATGTTTTACCCCAGCTACATATTGTGGACAGAATTTGTCTTTCAATTTCACACAATTTTTATCCATAGGTTCTGCGTGAAAATAACACTAACCTTCTGTTGAGTTCTAAGCCTCAATCCACACACCAAGCTCAGCCTCAATCAATCCTACCAATTCACCTGTACAATACAAAAAAAGGTCAAGAAATTGAGAATCTAATTGGCAGATAATCAAAACCAACAACAACAAATTATCAATGAAAGAAGAGTTGTGCCATTATCAGTCTAATTCAATGGCAACGAGCAAAGATCAGTGTCTATTCCAGATCACTGGCAGTGCCTAAAATCAAACCAACAGCCTCTACTATACATCGTCTTCATATAATAAAGCCCTTCAAATCCCTAGTCGTCAGTCCCTAAAACCCATAGCATTCAAACCCTAAAATCTAACATGATTTTCCCTTCCCAGAACCCTGCAAATCGAATGAGATAAGAGAGGAAGAGAAGATTCTCTCCATTCCATATGGAAGGAAGATGACAACAATGACTGAAAACAAAAACTCTCACAATCGAAAGACCCGACAAACGGCAACGAATATGAAATCCGATCATCGCAATTGGCAGGGAGAGGAAGGGGCACATGCAAACGGATATTCGCTCCATTGTAGATGGAAGGACGACGCTGACGATGACCAAAATCAAAACAAACTCCATATGGAAGGAAGACGCCGACCCATTCTAGTAGTCGAAGATGAAGACAACGATTGGCCTAATTTTGATTCAACCCGAACTGGCATGCAATTGGCAGAACAAAAAAATCAAGCTATGGAACAGAGGGATACCTTCGTCGGAAGCTG